CACCTACCCAGCCGCCAAAGAACAACAAGAGAAAGGGCAAAGGTGCCCCGGCAGATAAGAGGACCCGACGGAGGCTGCAGGAGATTCCACCATGCCCGACTTGTGGTCGACTTCACAGGGGAGAGTGTTGTGCTGGACAGGACATCTGTTACTTTTGCCAGGAGCCGGGACACTTTGCGAGCCGATGCCCGAAGAAACTCCAGCAGCAGCTTCAGCAGCCCCCACAGCAGCAGCAGCCACGACAGCCGGCACAGAGACCACCTCAGCAGCAGCAGCAGCAGAGGGGCAGGCAGCAGGCCAGGGTCTATGCGGTCAATCAGGCGGAGGCAGCACAGCAACCAGGTACCATGTCCGGGATGATTGTTCTCAATGATATTCCTGTGTTTGCGTTATTCGATACCGGAGCAACGCACACCTTTATTTCACGACGGTGTCTCGACGCCATCGGAGTTCATGCAGTTACTGCTGTCGATCCTCTCGAGGTGAGTTTAGCCTCGGGACGAAAGATAGTGACCTCAGCTAAAGCCTAAGATCTTAGCCTTTCTATTGGTGGCCGAGTATTGACTGCCGACGCATTTGTTCTCGAGATGAAGGATTTCGATCTTATTCTCGGGATGGATTGGCTATCCTTTTATCATGCTGACATCAGATGTCATGACCGGGAGATCACTCTGTATCTTCCGGAAGACGAGTCGATTACTTTCTTCGGCTCCAAAAACCGTTCACTGCCTCAGGTTGTTTCAATGGCGAAAGCCACTAAGTTATTGCGACGAGGCAACTGCCAGGGTTATCTGGTAAGCCTTGTTGAGGATTCTCAGAAAGCGCGAACACCTCATGATGTTCCCATTGTTCGCGAGTTTGTAGACGTATTCCCAGACGAGCTTCCAGGAGGACCGCCCAACCGTCAGGTGGAGATTTCTATTGATCTTATCCCAGGGGCCGGTCCAGTATCCAAAGCCCCATATCGCATGGGGCCTAAAGAGTTACAGGAGCTTAAGACTCAGATTCAGGAGCTATTACGACTCGGTTTTATCCGACCGAGTGTGTCACCATGGGGAGCACCCGTTCTCTTTGTTAAGAAGAAGGACAGATCTATGCACATGTGTATCGACTACCGGGATCTAAACCGGTTGACGATCAAGAATAAGTACCCGCTTCCCAGGATCGACGACTTATTTGATCAGTTGAGGGGAGCCTGTGTATTTTCGAAGATTGATCTATGATCAGGCTACCATCAGCTGAAGATTAAGGAGTCAGACATCGCTAAGACCGCTTTCAGGACTCGTTACGGCCATTACGAGTTTGTGGTCATGCCTTTCGGTCTCAGCAATGCGCCAGCTGTTTTCATGGATCTCATGAACCGTATTTTCCATCCATACCTCGATCAATTCGTTATT